AGAAGAAGAAGAAGAAGAAGAAGAAGAAGAAGAAGAAGAAGAAGAAGAAGAAGAAGAAGAAGAAGAAGAAGAAGAAGAAGAAGCTACCCACATATATTGCTCAAATGTTTACCTACACACTGTGCTGCAAACAATATTTTCCAATAAAAACCCCAAACTTGGAGGGTACACTTTTCAACATGTTCCAATAAAATGCATTCCAGCATACATACATCACACACAAACACAAATCAAAGTCTGTCTTTCTGGTTCTTAGTAATAGCATGAAGAGAAGCCCAGTGATACACTTCTTTTTACTCTTGACTTTTTGATTCTGAGATTCCACATGCCATAAGTTATCTTCAGAAGTATAAATGAGGTAACATCTGTGCTGAGTGCAAAGAATAGCTTTTCTGTCAACATTGGAACTGCTGCATAACACACTGTGTTTTTGTCAAATTCAGCTTTTCAAGAAGTCTTCAATAAGGCCCAGAATTCTAAGGTATGTGTATCTAATCTGGTCCTCAGAGAAGGGAATAGTCAGGGTGGGAAGATATTTTCAGCAGACAAGGTACAGTAGGGTGGGTGGGATGCTGGTTTCCTGTTCTCAAATTCTTTGCGAGATTTTTTTAACTAAAAGACCCCTTAGAGTACTCAGTCCTGACAAGATATTTCACATGTGATGGCCACATGTGAGGCACTTTCACGAGACTTTCACTGATCCACTTCCTCTCTATAGTGCTTTTTCCTTCCACAGATGTCTTGTCAAGTAAAATATATTGCAATAAAAATATTTTATAGTGCTTTTATGTTTAAACTTGGCTTATCCCCTCATCTCTCCACTGCATCTTTGCCTCGAAGGGAATGTCACAGAACCCCTCTCTTAGGGAAAGTGTACTAATGCAGCAAACTTAATGTTTGTCAGGTGCCATTAATAGATAAAAGAATTTCATTCCCACCAGGACCATCTAATAGTTTTATTACTTCTCACTCAGTTAATCCTTTGGCCTGATGATTCCTATCCAGGATATCCCAGGGGTAGGAAGGGTCTTGTGGTGTAAAACCCTCCGTGGATCCCTCCTTCCAAGTCCTGGACACTAAGATGAAAACTTCAATGGAACATGTTGTTCCAGGGGCAATCAACACTCACCTTTGAGTGTTATCCAAGTGGCAGGGGCACTGCTTGTCACATTTGATGCCATAGATACCCTCTGGACAGAGACGTGCTTCGCAGAGCTCACCAGCAAAACCGGCCTCACAAAGGCACGTGCCACTCACGTGGTAGCACTTCCCCCTGTTGACACACCGGCAGGTCTCTGCACAGCGAGAGCCATAGGTCCCCACGGGGCACTCATCCTGGCACCTATCAAGCAAAGGGTGGGGGCAGAAGATAGACTGACTGGTTAGTGCTATATAAAAATTATTAATGCAATTAAAATGGTTTTATTGTGTACAAATAAAACTGCTTTTAATTAAACTTCTATTATTTCCTGATTGCCCCATTGCAGGTAGACAACCATTGAGATGAATTATTCTAGCTATATAGTAGGAATAGCTGAGGAATAAATATCAAAACATAATAAAATTGCAAGCTTAAGACATGAAGAATGTGTCACACTTTATGTTTGTGAA